TACTTCAGTTACTTCCATAGCATCATGTCGTATGGCATTCTGCTGTGGGGACACGCTGCTGACATTGAGTCTATCTTTGTCTTGCAGAAGCGCGCCGTCAGAGCTATATACAACCTAGGTCGTCGCGAATCTCTCAGAGAAAGGTTTAGGGAGATCAATATTATGACCGTTCCATGTCAATTTATTTATGAAAATATTATGTATGTTAGGAAAAACCTACATTTATTTAGTAAAGTGTCTGACAGACACAATTATGAAACTAGACATAAGAATAGATTAAGTCCGCCATTTTTTAGATTGTCAAAAGTACATAAGTCGTTCATGGGATTCGGTGTTAAATGTTATAACAAAATCCCCCAAGAAATACTGCATCTAAATGAAAGAAAATTTAAACTATGTATTAAAAAAACGTTATGTAGACAAGCATACTACAAACTAAATGATTATATAGAGGATAAAAGTGCTTGGAGGCAGGCTGGTCCGGCTCCGCAGGATAATACATGAAACACAGTGATGTTCAATGAATTCTATTTGTGTAATAATATAATCATGTTGCTTAAATATTTGTATAGTTTAAAACGTTGCACAATCTATTGTAAATGTGAGAGCCCTGTAATTAATTAAATCAAATTAGACTAGTAGATTGCATTTATGTCAGCTTGGAGTTGTCATGCTCACTCAAAGATCTCGTTGGCGGTGGCACGTGCATTGGTTGGGTGCAAAATGGTTGAGTTGGGCGGTGCTAGGGTTCGCAAAATGTTCGTGAACGGGCACCGTCGATTGGAACTGGTCAGCTCCAGACTGTATCTTTTTATTTTATTATCCTCAAGGTTATTTTCTTTTTCAGTCTTTCTGACTGGATTTAGGTGTTGCATTTGAATGAATTTTTGTTTATTCATTCAAGTGGATATGCAGGACAACGTCTGTCGGGTCAGCTAGTATATATATAAAAAAATACTTCTTGTCTCCACCACACGGCATGAAGCATCTAATTAAATAGGTACCGGTGGAAATATACAGCAGAAACAATAGATACGTGTAACCACTAAAATGTTAAACAAATATGCTTCGCTAATAAGAAGGTTGCGAATCCGTCTGTCTGTCTTTGTACATTGATATCGTCAACATTTGCTTGTAAATTATATTGTATGTAAATATATATGTATGTGTTGTATCCCGGTAGTGATGTAAGGTTGTGTTGTAGGAAGTTTTGGGGTAATCAGTAATGATGGTTTGTCAAAACTTTAACCATAAGTTTGGGGTTTGCGTGACGCCATATGACCTGGCCTTTGGCTTTTAACCAGTGGTGGGAACATAGATATACGCGCGACGCAATTAGTTTTATATTGTGTCTCATATACCGACAGATAACCGGTTAATGGTCTATATTATATATCTCGTGATGTATACTTTTTTTCTGAGTAATCTAATAAGTTTAAGGTCAATAATAGACCGGGTCCCAAGTGCGACTGCCAGGCAAGGGGTCTCGGGTTCGATTCCTGAGTCGGGCAAAGTATTGCTGGGTTTTTATAAATTCTCAGTAGTAGCACGGAGTCTGGAATTGTGCCCGGTATATGGCAATAGGCTCACCCCCTATTACATGGGACTCATAACATAAATAGTGAAAAGTGGGTGTTACATTGTACAGTAGCATAATGTAAACCTCTGCCTCCACCTTCGGGGATAAAAGGCGTGATGTTATGTTATGGTTGTTGTAATTTGTGTAGTGGCTCGGTTGGTACACCAGAAGTCGCAGATTTAAACCCCACACAGAACAGCTGCATCCTCACTAATATTATAAATCGGAAAGTGAGTTTGTTTGTTTGTTTGTTCCGACTTCACGCCGTAACTACTAAACCGATTGCATTGAATTTTTGCAGACGTAAAGTTAGTAGTCTGGATTAAATAATAGGGTACTTTTTATCCCGAAAAAATTTGATATTCCCGAGGGAAAACAAAAGTATTGGTATAGATGGCGCTGTATGTATTAGTATATGTCACATAGGCTACTTTTTATCCTTTTGTGACGCGAGCGAAGCCGCGGGTAAAAGCTAGTTTTAAATAATTCCCGAATTGTTAATTCCATAACTGGATTTGATGTTGTACCTATGTTATAACAAGGTGTAGATGGAACGTCTTCGAAACGCTGACAAATAGAAAAAAAAGAAAAGGTTTTTACCATCACCTCTCGACGTTTTGCGAGAGATTTCCGGTTATACCCTGTATGTCTCACTCACAAGTCAAAACATTTAAGAAGATCCTAGATAGAGAAAACAGCTTTAAAAAGCAATGTAAAAAGAATATCAAATAACTTGCCACAGACAAAGGCCCGTCACAGCCGAGAGGAGATCAATATAAGCTGCTGACCTGCCAACTGGGCCGGCTGCAATTTCTGAGCATCGACGAGCATCAACGGACTATCGATTCTTTAGGTCAGCTTTTGTTGAATGGAAACTGTATAGTTATTTGAATAAACCAACTTTTTATAAATCGTTGTTTATTTGCACTAAGTGTTAAGTTCAGCCGTAGAAATATTATTATTATATCTATGAATTCAGCTAAGGGGTAACAAAGTCGCGGAGAACCTAACGGGTAACCGGGGTCCGGCTCGACGTGAAGGAGAAGGAACGGATGGTTTTTAGTCAGTAAGAGTTTGACACTCCCTCCCCAGGCGGGAGCAATCATTCGATGATTTTCCCCCCTTAAAAAAAATGGCGAACAAAAATTTAGGTGACGAACTATTCTATAGCTTTGTTTCTGAGAGACAAAACCCATTTTTTTTTCAGACATCAGAAAATGAAAGAAACAACATTTAATAAACAAGTGACATATTATGTCTAGATTATAACTGTCTAAGCTTATGGGTTCATGTCTCAAGTCTGCTGCGAAATGGAACCAGTTTTGCAGCAGAGCAAGACAGGGCCTTGCGCTAGTATGCTACTGGCCCCTTATGTATATGGAGAAATATCTTCAGAGTAGTTGTCCATATAAAATTAATAACTTTATTGTACCAACAACGTCCTCACACCCAAAGATTGGCTAGTAAGAATGCCACCCTTATTCATTATTATTGTAAAAAGTTAAATAACAATAAAATACTACAAAAAATCATAAAATCCAACCTACTTAATTCTTGACCCTGATCTAAGCCTTATCACTAACGCCATAGCGACTAGCAACAACCCAACTTCATTTTTACCCCAAAATCTCGTCTCCTCAAACAATTCCGAGTCCAATAACTTGCCAACTTTACAGGGATTCCTTCAGTACCTACATACTTTCTTATATAAGTCACTTCGTGGCGACAGCCGACTTATTAAACTGAATTTCTGAAGGTGAAAACTTGTTATGAAACGTCTGAAGTTTTAAGATACTGAACGTTAATTTATTGGGGAATGACGTCTTGAAAATTCTTTCAGAAACTGCTCCGGAGTTAGTTTTTAATGAGAGATGAGATTGCTATGAATAATTTTGTAGGGTTGATGCTCGTGTTGAAATCGGACGGAGTACCTATCAATACCTTACCGAACTACACTTGAGAGGGATTTTTAAATGGTGATCTTCATATCGCATGTCAATCGTGGATGTTCTTTCTTTTTCTCCTATGTCTAACATATCTGTCACTGTGGCCTCTAGGACAAAATCCACCGCGAAAAATCGATTCACAGGCTATCGATGATGCTGAATTCAACTAGAAATGAACAGTTTTACTAAGTACATTTTAATGAAAATGGGTAAATTTTATCTCATAGACACAATTTTGCATTATCATCAAAACGTTGTCATAAATGAATATTTTATTCTCTCACATTACGAGGTACGAAGTGTTACTATGTACTACGTAGACTAACGCCTACATTAAATAAGCGTCAGTTAATGGCACGAACGCAACATATTGCCTATCAGCAACGTCCAGGCGCTCGTATTGTACGATATTATTTGTAATAGGGCTGTCTCGTTTATCGGCCAGCAAATTGGAACTCGGCCCAATTTCCGTCATGTGACGATAGGTATATAGAAATTGATATTACAGAGAGATTTGTGGGATTGGGTGATTGATTTTAAGTAAAGAATTGTGGTTAAATCTCTATATTAATACAGTAAAGAACTGATTAAATATGTAAGTATGAATGTTTAATTTTACCGGTCAACGAAGATTTGTTCCTAAAAAGATCTGTCTCGTGGGGTCCATAACAAGATCCGATTAAACAGACACGCATCTCTTCACATAGCAACATACCATATGGATGAAATACGACGCGCAATCCTCAGTTTAGAACTGATTTGCTCGTGATAAAATTCAGAGTTTAGAACTGTATTCTAACTTTACTCCTAATAACAATAAAATACCTGGCGGACTGGCGTAATACCTACTACAGATGTCTGTATTTTTTTCTTCAAAGAACAATATATTATTTTATTGTGTAATTTTTAAAATCACAGGCAAATTCAACCTTAATAACGTCAACCATGTTCGTAAACAAATCCTGTTTTCTTATTCACTGCACATTTGAGTCAGTTGAGGAATATAAAACAGTATCGTAACAGAGTCGAACTGGTCATATAGTTTCGGTAGGGATTGCTAGCTAGGTCGCAAAGTAGCCCTGAATAGCAAGGGAACCGGATTTGGGCCCAAATTTGTAGTTGCTGATAAAAACAATGCTACATCTTTGCTGTACCTACTTTGTAGATCAATTAAGGAACTTTTAGGTTGATTCTGGGGTTGGGCAAAGCATAGCAGAGGGTCTTTTGGTTTTCAAAATCTCTCAGTATTCTTTCAAGGATTGTACTTGGATTAAATTACGCCCGGAGTTCAAATAACAAAATTTAAGAAAAAACTTATCCGGGTGAAAAGTGAGTTTACAATATGCACATTTAATTTGCCCTTCATTGCAATGGCAGATTATATTATTTCGGTAAATTTAGACATTCGAAGTTACATAAAGTCCCAACAAGCTGAATTTTTGTGAAGTTGTTCAAAACATAATTATAAACAATGTCTAGAAGTCCCCATCATTCCCCTGTAAGGAAAAAATTTAATTCAAGGTCAAAGGTCACAAAAATTCACTCTCATTTTTGGTCTAAATTGACCGGACTAATATGTGCCATGTGGCAAATAAAAATTCCGATGCCATGTTACCTATGTCATTCAGCCTTCGGGGATAAAAGGCGTGAACTTATGTTATGTTATGTTTCTATACTCATACATACTATGATTTATTCTCAGAATGGTCGCAAAAGTCCAAGGACATGTCTAATTTAATATAATATTCACTTTTCGCTATTTATGTTAAAAATGTTATAATACCTTACTTGAAAACTATTACTAATATTGTCAAAGGCTCATTTCCATATAATACAATTACAGTAAAGTAATTTTACACCTGTACCAAATAATATGAGGGTCCAAAATGTGTCATTCAGTCTTGGGCGCCATACTATCGTAGTCCAACCCTGTACCGTAAAAAGCATAACTTAGGTTATATTCCCCGGAGAAGCCTTAAATCGTGGTACATTTCCATTCCAGCTACTGCGAACACCAGTCACGCAATTTAGAAACTAATTTGTTTAAAATTATGGTTCAATTTCGTAATAAATTGTTCGTAGCCGTTTTGTGGAAATGGGGGCTGCTTTAACAATTGGGCAAATATGTATCTTATGTAAGAGGGTGACTGTTAGTCTTTTAGTGTAGGTACAGGCAGTGGTGTATTTTGTTATTAAGTATATAGCAGACGACGAAAAAACAGACGAAATGTATTTCTACTGCAATCCAATTGCAAATTGGCAGTTTGAACGCAGTTGACATGACTGCAATAGAACTGCAATCGGACTGCACGTTTGGTTTGCAACCGTTTGGTTATAGAACTGCAATCGGACTATAGGTTTGGTCTGCAGTTCAATTGCAGTCGTGACTTGGCTGAATTCAAACTACATCCGAACTGAAATGGGTGGTTGGATTGCAGTGGAAATGCGTTTCGTCTGTCTAGACTAGTCTAGAGCCTAACATAAAACTACAGTCTCTGCCTACCCCCATGGGAGATAGGCGTGGGGTTATTTATGTATGCATATAATTATATGTTCTGAGCATAAAAGTCACAACTTTTAATGTGGGTTATTATAATTTATACTTTATTTAAACCCCGTGTAAGCTGAGTCAATTGCCATACTTCGGCCACAATCCCAGACTCCATAGTCCGCACTACTAATAGGAACATTTCGAAAATTTAAAAATTCTCTAATCATAGGTATGAACTGAAAATCGAACACGACAATTCACATTTTTAGAAACTGCACTCACGAATCGATCACCAGTATTGTTGTAAATAACAATATTATACCTACACCAAGTCGCGGAGAACCTAACGGGTAACCGGGGCTCCGGCTCGACGTGCAGGAGAAGGAACGGGGTGGTTTTTAGTCAGTAAGAGTCTGACACTCCCTTCCGCCTCACCCAGGCGGGAGCAGTCATTCGATGATTTTCCCCACTTAAAAAAAAAAAAAATACCTACACCAAAATTCTCAAGTTAAGCATGCCTCCCGCGTTCGTCTGTCATTTGTCTAAATAACAAAATACTGGCGTCAAGGAGTGTTTAACTGTTACTGTAATTAGTTGCAAACAGAAACATTACAAGCCTTTAGTTAATTAAAAATGGTTAAAATAGAGTTATTTTAGTCCTATACGATGAGAAACGATTGTGTCTCGTTTTTGTGGTGATGCAGTAAATTTTGTGCCTTATAATATTGCAGAGAAACACAAATACTAATACTTTAGTACTTAATAAACATAAACAACAAAATAATTATTTTGTAATAAAATACGAATTATTTATAACATGAATCATAATATACCTAATAATCTGCGTCATGTGGGCAAAGTATTACTGGGTTTTTAAAAAAAATCTCAGTAGCAGCACGGTATATGGCAATAGGCTCACACCCAATTACATAGGACTCATAACATAAGTAGTGAAAGTGGGTGTTACTTCTGTGTGCACCTCTGCCTACCTCTTCGGGGATAAAAGGCGTTATGTTATGTTTAGTTCTTATTTTAGGTTACATGCATAAAAGTACAAGAAAGACAAAAGTAAACAACTTAATAATAATAAAATAACATCCCATCACAACTTAAGGATGGGACGGTTGACATAATTATGTCGGGCATGTCATAGTCCTGGTGAATCCATTAGACATATTATTTCTGGTTGTGGTCGTTTGGCTAACAGTGAATATTTGCATAGGCATAATCAAGTAGCCAAGATTATCCATCAGCAACTTGCTTTGCACGATATCACTATTCCTCATGATGAGAACCTCGTGAAAGCTGAAAAAGATAAACAAATCAAATATCTTGATTTGGCTCACGAGGTTGTCGACATGTGGAATGTAGATTCGGCTATCATTGTGCCGATAGTCGTGTCGGCCAATGGATTAATCCCTAATAGCCTCGACAACCACCTTAGGAGGCTAGCGTTAGGCAGTTGGGTCAAGGGCCTGATACAGAAGGCAGTTCTCCTTGAAACGGCGCGCATTGTGAGGAGGTTTCTGTCTCTGGAGCCCTAACCACCGGTAGCTTGGACCATGCTCCCACATATACACACATAAATATATGGAAATAACATCTTAAATTAATCTGAGATTAATAAGTTAAAATGAATTAATAATAGTTCCGGAAAATAGCGCGTTCAAACAAGCAAACTATTCAGCTATTTATAATAGTATAAGACTAGCTGTGCCCGCGACTTCGTTCGCGTGGAATAGTGATTTACTGCGCATACCCCGTAAGTGATAGCGTGATAATATGTAGCCTATATGTTGACCCGACCCGTTAGTAATAACAAACAAAATTTGAAGTAAATCCATGCAGTATTTATTGAGATCATCCCGGACATACATACCTACAGACAAACAAACAAACAAAAATTTTAAAAACCATATTTTTAGCTTCAGTATCGACTGTAGAACACGCAACAGGTATTCTTTTAAAAAAATATATTCAATGTACAGTTTTGACTTTTCTACGATTTTATTATAATGTACTTATAGAAGATTGTCACTACACCCATAATCCAAGTGTTGGCATTTCTATAACTAGATCATTGATCACCAATAGGCAATAACCATATTTTTCCAATCACTACCATATTGTGCAAGATATAAAAGCTACTATAGATTACTATGTAAACCACTCTCATGGGGAATGGAAGCTTTTAACCTCGGTGACTGATTGGACCATCAATGAATGGCTTTTAGCGGCACAACAGCTATATCATTGTACCTACTTCACATCAAGCTATGCAAAACCAGTGTAAGCTGACCGTCGATTGTGCCGAAAGATTATACAAACCGAGACCAAGATAAATTGGTTATTAATAACTCGATATATCGTGTGTACTACGCTTCAATTACCATTGACCATCAGTTAATGCCCGTCCTAGGGCAATGCTGTCGCTTTTAGTATTTGATGATTTTGTTTTCATTCTTAATGAACTGCCTCGTTGGCCGAGTAGTCGCAAGTGCAACTGCCGGGCAAGGGGTCTCGGGTTCGATTCCCGGGTCGGGCAAAGTATTACTGAGTTTTAAAAAAAAATCTCAGTAATAGCACGGAGGCTGGAATTGTGCCCGGTATATGGCAATAGGCTCACCCCCTATTACATGGGACTCATAACATAAATAGTGAAAAGTGGGTGTTACATTGTACATACATACAGTGGCATAATGTGCACCTCTGCCTACCCCTTCGGGGATAAAAGGCGTGATGTTATGTTGATGTTATGTCTTAATGAACTGTTTCTACTAAAAACCTTATAATACTTTTGTCCTATTGAATTAGGTACGTATGTTTGTTACACATTTTTTTTAATTTAAATAAGTATTTGTTTTGTTTTGTTTTTCTTTGTTTTGTAATATTTCTTTTTTTTGTATTTCAGTATTTTCGATTATTGAGTTTGTTTTTCTCTATGATTTTATTATATTTGAACGTAACATAGATTTATTTTTTTAAGGCCTAGCTAGCAATGGAGAAACCTGTCATGATAGTTTCTAGACAAGGTTTTATATAAATATATAAATAACAATCACGCCAAAACGGATGAACGGTTCGGGATAAAATTTAGAACAGGGGTAGAATAATCTGGAATATCTCCAGACTATATTCAACTCATAGGCTATTTCACTGTCACAAGAACGCAAGCGAATCTGTTAGCAGAAGCTACATATTTATTAGATTAAGTTCTTCGTCTTTTTTAACTGAATTCCCAAAAAGTGTGGGAGAGCCATGCTTCGGCACGAATGGGCCGGCTCGACCGGAGTGATACCACGGCCTCACAGAAAACCGACGTGAAGCAACGCTTGCGTTGTGTTTGATCGTGTGAATGAGGTTACCGTAAGCCCAATTACCCTCCTCTTCCCCAATTCCTGAATCCCCAACGATCCTCAAACTCCTAATCCCCAAAAGGCCGGTAACGCACTTGTAACGCCTCTGGTGTTCCAGGTGTCCATGGGCGACGCCGATTGCTTACCATCAGGTGATCCCTCTGCTCGTTTACCGGTTTATGCCATAAAAAAGGAGGAGGTTGTACACTCGTCTGTATGTTGTTGTTTTTTTTTCCAAATCTTTTTCACATAAATGAATTTTAAACTTGCTCCTTGTCATTCTTAGTTTTCTACGTTCATGACGGGTTTTGTCCTTCATTTCAAAATCATCTTCAAAGCGTCTAAAGAACATCGACAAGACGTCTTGTACAATATCCAAAAGTTACATTAAAAAATTCTTTGAGTTTTTCAAGCTTCTGTATTATAAACCCTCTTGAGATATATTTAAAGTTAACGGCTTACAGGTACGTAACTGTTGGACGAGGTAATTGGACTGGTTTCAAGCTACGCTAGGGGCTTTTAATCGTGCACAGCATTACTAACATGACACACGACGCGACGCAACGAATGTCACGCAGTTACCTAATCAAAATTGTCCTAAAGGTTTGGTAGATTAGGATGCGGCATAGATATAATAACAGTTTTTAATATTTCTGTGGGATGAGGACTCACCATATGGTACCGTATGTGGGTACCTCCGGACCGAACACCCTCGTTCAGCTGTATGGAGCTCACGCTGCCGGCGTCGTCATCCATAAAACCCGTCTTCTTGTAACGTGCCATCTGGAGAAGAAAGAAGAAGATTTCAATCTTAGAACTGATTTTTTCTATAGGTGAAAGAGGTGGAAGTCTTTGGGATGTTTTAGTTTAAGGAGTCATTATTCCCAAACACCTTTACCCCACACATTACCTGGCTCCTATTGAGAATTTGGAAATACAAAACCTATTGCAGACCTCGGAGTCGAACTCGAGATGTTACTCTCGAAAGTCTAATTTTACACTGAAAGCAAGACTGCTATCATTTACTGTTGCTGAGTGAGAAATATTGAATCGCCCTCTCGACCAATTTTATAAATTACTAGCTACTTCCATGCAGATTTACCCACTCTGGTCGGCTCCTATTAATCGTAGCGTGATGTTTTATAGCCCATAGACTTCATCGATAAATGGGCTATCCAACACAAAAAGAACTTTTGAAATCGGTCCAGCAGTTCCTGAGATGAGCGCGTTCAAACAAACATACTCTTCAGCTTTATATGATAATAAAATATAAGATAAGTTTCAAGATAAAAAGATTTGTTTGAAGTACCTACAAGTTATTAGACTACAATAATAAGTTTTAATTTTTTTAAATATAACAAACTAATAATAAGTATTTACACAGAGCATCAAAAAATTCGTCCGCATCGACGTCAATAGGGAAAGTACCAAGAAGGCTGGCAGCATTGCCATTCAAGATAAATGAAAAATTTTAAACATAAATATCCTCTCAGCTATGCTACAGATGTAGCATTTTATGGCGTAACTTTGAAAGAATATAACATGAAAAGTATGAAAGTTTTAACTCAAGTTTAAGTGTTTTCGCCGTTTTCCGATGAACTTTTTAAGATGTTTTTACAAAAACATTTAGGTACTATGTTATTTATGTCATTTCTTTGTACCAGTTGATTTATTAAGGGAAAATATTATTGTAATAATAATTATTATCATTTTTAAGATGTATTTTTTGTGAGACATTTACTAAATTTATTATTATTATGTTTTTCGGCTTACTCACGTAATAATAGTTAGTTCGTCGTTATTGTTAAGCTTTGTTTTTATGCAACAGCTGGCAGCAGCAGCAGCAGCTCTTTTTACATAAATTCACAAATTCCTACGGTGTTAATTTATTAATACGTACCTACATATACCTACAACGGAAGATCCCATTGATCTCATTATTTTGACGGAAATTCTCAATTTAATGACAACACAGTAAGGGCTTTGAAAATTACAGAATACTCTTTTTGTCCTACTTTTCACGTCAAAACCGTTTGTATATTTGTAACAAATAAAAATATGACAACGAAGTAGTCTGACGTAATGTAAAATTAGAACTAGTGTGTACATTGTTGGTGAACCAATAAATAAAAGAAAAAAAAACTACTGGTCCGATTTGATCCAGCCAACGAGGCAGTTTCTCTAATTACGTTTTAATATAATCTTAGTCATTGGCCGAGTGGTCGCAAGTGCGACTGCCGGGTCGGGCAAAGTACTGGGCTTGTAAAAACCTCAGTAGTAGCACGGAGTCTGGAAATGTGCCCGGTATATGGCAATAGGCTCACCCCTATTACATGGGACTCATAACATAAATAGTGAAAAGTGGATGTTACATTGTACAGTGGCACTAAGTGCTGTAATGTGCACCTCTGCCTACCCCTTCGGGGATAAAAGGCGTGATGTTATGTTTATGTATAATCTCAGTGTAGACGTATTAAGAATGCTTTCCATGATTTACATTTTCAATCAAATTCTTATCGATTATTTAAAACCTACTTACGTCTAGAAATTATTTCATTAAGTATTTCTATAATCTCGTTTACCTATTGCTACCTGTATGTTACTCAGTAATTTAGTTTGAAAAGGGGCACCCATTCTACAAATTTTTAATCTGTGTAACATAAAAACGAGTTTGGAAGGGTCTTAGTAGTATAAAATAAAAAAACAACATCAGAACATGAACTACTTATTCAACAATTTAAAAAAAATGCGTAGCAGCTGATAAATTAAGATAATATGATTGAAAAATATTATCTCAGCATCATATCCTTGGCTGAAAATAAACAACAACGTCAGTACCTTGCACTGAAAACAAGGAATCGATTCATAAGAGATACTCAGAGCTTACGAGCACATGATACCAAATTGGCAATCATGCGCATGTTGCCATCATTACTTTTAAGATCGTTTGATCTTATTTACTGTTAAGAATGAGATAAAACGATTGATATTTACAAGAACTATTTGATATTTATGCATTTACTGACGGCCCGATTGATGCGGTGGCTGGGCTGGGCAACCGGCTGCCGCGTAACGTGTTGCTGGTTCGATTCCCCCACGGAGCAATTCTTTGTGTGATCCACAAATTTTTGTTTCGGATCTGGGTGTCATGTGTACGTGAACTTTTATATTTGTTAACTAAAAAGTAAAAATAATTATTCAAATCAGACTTGTAGTTACGGAGATTAGCGCGTTCAAACAAACAAACAAAAAACAAACTCTTCCGCTTTATATAATAGTATAAGATATAAGATAGTAGGTATAAGATTGTACCTAAATCACTCTTACTAACTTAGGTACCTACTAACCTACTGGCATGATTGTTTAAAACACAGATTTGACATAAAATAATAGCAGAGTATAGAGGTGGAGGTTTTCAGTTCGTAGATACCTATAGGTACTGAAATTATTAATATGTAACTTGTGTCTATCCACCGGGAATTAAACGCGTGACGTCATTATTTTGGGAACTCGACTAGCTTAAATAAATGACAGTTATACTGTTATTTGTTAAAAATATATTGCTATAAGGACACTATGCTATCAACTCATGCCTCTAGTAATGGTTTAATTGAAATAATTGACACCGACAAAGAATGGAGTTTACCCGTAGTTTTTTAATTAAAATGATACTAGCTTCTGCCCGCGACTTCGTACGCGCGTTTTCTCCCATTCTTGTAGGAGTTTCAGAATCTTTTTCTGTCTTAAAAACCTTCTCTTAATAATACAAATACAACAAAAATAGAATTAGTGAAAGCGGTCCAGCCATTCACGTGTGATGCCGTGACCAAGGGAAAAAGGGATTCATTTTTATATACCGCTAGCGGTTTTACTCGCGTATAATTTAGATTACACTAGAGTAAGCCCCGATATTGTAAATAAAAAAATCGGGATAAAATCTAGTGTATGTTACTTCATAAAAAGTATGCTTTCATATGTTGAAAGAAATTTTCAAATCGGTTCAGTAGTTCCGGAGCTTTTTCAAAACGAACAAATAAACAAACAAACATTTTTTAGTTTTATAATAGTTAATACAGTGCGTGCTAGTTTCAATTATGTGTAGATACTTCTATTTACCAATTCGTGTAATATTAGGATCATACTATACCTACTATAACTTTTGTAGATATTTTTGGATATATATTTAATGTGGGGACATTAGGATTTTTTCCTGTATCGTGGGTGCGTTTACAAACATACAAGTTCACAATACACAATGACACCCAGACCCGAAACAACAATTTGTGAATCACACAGACGGCCCGATTGTTGCGGTGGCTAGGCAACCGGCAGCCGCGTAACCTGTTGCGGGTTCGATTCCCGCACGCAGCAACTCTTTGTGTGATCCACAAATTTTTGTTCCGGGTCTGGGTGTCATGTGTATGTGAACTTGTATGTTTGTAAACGCACCCACGACACAGGAGAAAATCCTAAAGTGGGGCAACGTTTTTAATAAAAAAAAAATATAGTCATATTTTGTTTTGTCAAAATTATGTCAAGTACTAATGCATGTATTATTATTTATTTATATATTACTCCTTATATTTAAAGATATCCAAGGGAAGGCAAGAGGAAAAGAGGCAGACCGCAGAAAAGGTGGGACGACGATATAAGAGAAGTGGCAGGAGTGATGTGGAACAGAGTGGCTCTAGAAAGAACTGAATGGAAAAGGTTGGAGGAGGCCTTTGCCGATTGGCAAACAGATCTGCAGAAAATAAAAAAGCAGCAAATACTAGAATAAGTTTATATTTTTACTCTAAGTTTTATGTTTGCTCTAAAATAGTGTTATTAGGTTAAGCTATGTCGATCTGAAATAAAGGCTATTATTATTATTATATTTAAAGAAATTTCATCAGGACATCCGAAAGCCTAATAATTCTTTTCTCGACACGTGCAAATACATACCGTATGGTCAAGTCCAAAAATTCAGTTTGACCTGTTTCAAATGGTTGTTGACGTCCATTTTTTTAAGGTTAAGTAGGTAGCTCTTATATGAAGCACAATGGTTTCAGCACGAACTATAATATTGCTATAGTTTCAAGCTTAAGTTGGAAAGTTTAAGGGCAGCGTCAGTGCGTTGTAGTTAAATATTTTTTACAATAATGGCAGATTCCGTCTTTAGCAGAGTGATGTCGGCGGAGTAGAATGCTTTTGTCACCATCCTTAGTCTTCTCGTGTGAGTTATAAGAGCCAAATAGGTACGGAGTACAAGTTTAACGGACCCTGGCCCAGGCAGCAACGCCTTATGATAAACCTGAACCATTTTAATGGTCTGCAATCTGGTGGCGCCACTGGTTGCGCCGCCAAAGTGTCCCAGTGAAACATAGCCTTCCTTCAGTGAACTCTTAAGAGCTGTCTGTGAAGTGTTAAAGTTCCTTAATGTAGATTCCTTATGTCCGCTCGATCCAGAACAGTCCTAAAGTTAGGTACAGACAATTCGAGGAAACTTGACATTTAGCCAGGCACGAATTTTGTCTCATTATTTCCAGTGTAGTATCTCTTGTGAATATACAAAAATAATCGTCTCAAGTTTTTCCTTGAGCACTCAAAGAAGATTGAACGTAAAAAATGAACGCAGACGAGGTTTCTCGAAATCGAGAGCGACCTTGTATAGGATTTCCAATCGATTATTTGTTACTTACGTCTCCGACGAAAAGTTTCTGAGAAAAATATGATTTTTATATTAACAAATGTGAGAATCCAATTTTTTGTATCAAACAACTTGAAATCGAATTTGACTTTAA